TCATGGCTGGCACTCTACTACTTGAGCTACACTTCCACTTCAGGCATTTTTACTTTTAAGAGTCTTGAGGATTTTTCTGCCTAGGCTGGCTTGGAACCAGGATTCTCATATCTCAGCTTCCCAAGTAGCTAGGATTACAGGGGGGAGCCACTTAAATTGTAATTTTTTTGTGGATGAGTGTGTCAGCACTGGGGCTTGAATTTAGGGCTTGGGCTCTGTCCCCAGGCGTTCTTCTTCTGGGCTAGGGCTCTGCCACCATAGCCACTGCTCTACTTCCAGCTTTTTGGTGGTTAACTGGAGAAAAAGAAATCTCAAGGGCTTTTCTGCTCAGGCTGACTTTGAACTATGATTCTCAGAGCTCAGCTTCCTGAGCAGCTAATATTACATAAATTGTCATTTCTAAAGTAATTAATTAAAGCCACATCTTTCATTTACTATATGTAGAAAGCCCAAGAAATTGAATGTTTTAAAATGAAACAGAAAGGCTTAAAGGTATTATATTTAGGGAAAGATAAAGTTAAATGGTCTATTTAAATTCAAAAGATAAATGCACTTCCCAATACTATACGTAGGCCAGTTGTCTTGTAGAAACAGTGCTCAATAAAAGCATCTTTTATTTTATTAAGTTTTTCTGTACTGGGAATTGAACCCAGAACTTCTTTATACTCCAGGCAGGTGATTTACCACTGACAACATTCCTCATCTTATTGTGCACCCTTAAAACAAATAACTTTCATTTGACTGTATATTATCCATGAGGTATTTTCAAACGTATTCTTTCAATTATAGATTTTTTTAATACCTCCAGAGATGAAGGAAAAATGTCAGCTCCAATTAAAATTTGAGGAAATGGAGGACCAGACAGGTTACTCAGTTTGTCTCAGGTGAACCAGCAGCTCCAAGACCTTGTCTCAAATTCCTCTCTCCTTCCCGCTGTTACTCAGTGGTACCGAGGGCTCCGCTGGGGTCAGTCCTGTAGCATAATTCAACACTCAGAGCAGTAAGCCTGGGAGCTTTGTTAGTAAATACAGATGTGGAATGCAGTCGTTTTGAAGAATGGGGGATAAACAGGCAAGCCTCAGCCCAAACTTACTTGCCTTCTGAAATTAAGCCCAATGACTTGAGAAATTTGGGCTCTGACTTTTTAGAATATACCACTTTAGGTCAAAGGACTCAGCTACTCTTCCCTTAAATATTTCTGGAGCCAATTTATACCTTTTTCCAAAAAAAAATTTAAAAATGATTTATTATTAGATGTTAAGGATTAAAAAGAAACAAAGACATTCACGAGGTAACCAAGAGCCCTTAGAAATGAAGGCCACAGAAATCTCTTGGGTGGTATCAGTAGTGTAAAAGCAGCATGCTGTTGTTGCCCCACATAATACGTTAATCTTACAAAGGTGTTTATCCTTGCTGATGTAAACTTTTTCCTAAGGGTACTTGGAGTGAACTAGATGTCATTGTAGTTTTTGAATTTTGGTAAGCTATGCTTACTAAAAGGAGTTGTAATTACTTAATTACTTTGAAATGACACCATTTCTGAACTGCCAAGTCTTGTGGTTTCATTGCATCTAATTTGGTGGTAAGATTGTTCAACTTTAAAGTTTAAAGCCCAGAAAAAGAATGAAAACTTAAAAAGTAGAACCCAGAGTCCTTCAGCCTATGTATCTGGTCACCCTATATTATCTCCCCTCATCTAAAGAGTAATATTGTCATGATATTGTGACTATATTTGTCATACTCTGTTCTTTTGAGAGTTATTCAGATAGAATACTTGTTTATCTAGATGAGCATTTGTCAATTAACACTATGACCTTTTAGTTATTAAAAAAAATCCCAGAGTCTTATGAATGGAAATATAAAATTCATATTAAACATCCATTTATTTTCCATTTTATCTACTTTTAGAATGCAGACTTATATCCTTTTTAAGAAGTAGTTGAACTCCGGGCATTGGTGGCTCACATCTATAATCCTACCTACTCAAGAGGCTGAGATCTGAGGATCATCATTCAAAGCCAGCCCAGGCAGGAAAGTCTGTATGACTCTAATCTCCAATTAAATCACCAAAAAAGCCGGAAGTGACATTGTTGCTCAAGTGATAACACTAGCCTTGAGCAAAAGGAACTCAGAGACAGCGTCCAGGCCCAGAATTCAAGCCTCAGGACCAGGAAAAAAAAAAAAAAAGTAGTTGAATTTAGTCCAAAAAAAATCTTAAAGCAAAAACAAGTTCTTAATATTTAAGTTAGCAACGGCTACAGTTAACAATCCTGACTAGTATCTTTTAAAGACGCTAGGGGTAGCTGAGTTAAGATAAAAGTTTACAAAAATTAATTCTTAAGTTGACGAAGGTCAGCTCACACATAAGGAATAACATAGAAAATACCCAGAGAGAAGCCTGGAATTCACTGATCTTCTCTGATTTTGGATTTCATCATTCTTTCTTGGGCTACCTTTGAAGCAAAGCTTCTCCCCACAGACAAGAATCTTTGAGAGGCAAATTATGGCACCGGTGGAAAATAGAATCAGACAGGGTGGCATACAGACGAGTATCAGTGCTCTTCTGTGAGATATAAAAGCTCAAGGACTTTTGACACTCAAAGAGAGAAAGGATGAAAGTGAGCTGAAAATTGAAGCATTTTGCTGTGACTTTAGCTTGGAATACCAAAGACCTGGTCTGGTGAATGTCAAGGATGGTGATTATCATGAAGTGGGTTGGGTAGCAAGGAAAAGATTCCGAAACCCTGAATTCCTTTTAGAACATTATTAATTGTCATTAATTATGAAGTTGGTCTTGTTTTGTGTCCACTCTTTGAACATGGGCAGAGATTGTGTCTCTCCTTGAAAAACAGTTGACCTAAAAGACTTGATTTCTTAGATGCCCTGGCTTTTACCTACTGTTGGCTGAATTCAAATGCTGCTCTATCTGACTAGAAGCTGGGTGCTTTGGCATCAGAGCTGCCATGGAGAATCAATTTCTCTGGCTTCCAGAACATGAGCCAGTCCCAGTAGTAGCTTACTTCAACAGATATTAAACCATGAGCAATGCCAGTGTGTTGAGCAAACCTAATCTCTCTTGCATTTCAGAGATGGTGTAAGCCTGATCATTTATATGGCTAACTAGTTTTGTTAACCATAACGCCAAATCAAACCTAGATAAGTGTTACAAGAGTGTTATAAGCAAATGTTGAGGTTCTGTGCAGGGTCAAAAAAGGACACAGAGGAGGTGGCATTTTAGAGGAAACTAGATTTGGCAAGAATAATTTGCTGGCTAGGGAAGATGGGAAGGATGTGCAGAATAGGCAAAAGTGTAGATGAGCAGAAGTCTTGAGATGACAGCAATGTGGAAGAAAGGGTTGGTGGTTGGATATAAGGTTATTAAATCCCCTATCAAGTCACTGCATGAAGATACACAATCCATACAATGTGCCAGAAAGCTTCAATTAGTTACATTTCTGGATCACACACAAACATTAATTGCCCACTATAGGCCCAACTCCACACTAGGCACTATAGAAGAAGATACAAGGACATTAAATTAAACTGCTTGAAACTCATGCTCCTCCCCCCCCCCCCCCCCCATGTTCTCTCTGCCTTGGAATTCCTGGTGCTGGCACAGATACCCTGCAGGCTCCAGCTGGATTAGCAGAGGGACTGGAGGTTTGGGGATTTCTACATCTCAGTCAATGGCTCATACTTACACAGCACTTCTTATGTACCGGACTCCAGCATGGGAGCTTACATGGATCAAGCAATTCTATCTCCATTGATATTATATTGGGGTGAAATACTTGTCTCCAGTTTACATGTGGGGAAACAGAGGCACAGATCTTAGGCCGAGGGATCTGGGTGCAAAATCGGTCAGCCTTTCACACTTCTCTATCCTTGGAATCTAGCAGTGCCCGACACTGAATCCTAAGGTTTTGTTGTTTTGTTTGTTTGTTTTAATCTTTTTAAAAACTGCATTTTCAGAATAATCCTGTTGGGAGTCTCAACAAAGCCTTGAAACCCAAAATTTGAAAATCAAAAATTTGAAAATGAGAGGGTTTTTTTTTGTTGTTGTTCTGTTTTGCTTTTTTGTTGTTGTTGTTGTTGTTGTTCTATTTCAAGGCCAGTGAGGGGGAGAAAATGTTTCTTTTTCTTTACAGTTTTTTTTTTTTCTTTCTTTCTCCGTTTTTATTTCTGAACGCTAGGGGCTCCCGGATTCTCTAGTTTGAGAGTAACTTTTCGTTTTAGGTTTTTTTTTTTTTTCTAGTAGGGGGTGGGGGGAAAAATGTGGCCTTAATTATCCTACGTTTTAGGCAGCTTAAGGGAAGGGCTGTGCTTTCGGAATGGCTTCAGAGCCAAGTAAGAAGGTCCCTCCTACCCACCCCTCCCCTCCCGCCCCGCCACCCCCAACCCCCAACCCCACCCCGCCTCTTTTTAAAGGAGCTCGTGAAATAAAAGTGCAGAAAACAAACCCAGCGATCGCAGCCGCAGCCGCAGCCACAGCAGCTGAGGCCGAAGGAGGAGGAGCAGGAGGAGGAGCAGGAGGAGGTAGATTTGTAGGACCGGCGCAGCCAAGTTGCCAGGGCGCAGCAGACTCTCTCGCCGGGCGGTGCGCAGCTCCATTCATTAAGTAGCCGGGCGCGGGGGAGAAGGGTGTCCGGGCGCCTGCGCTGCTGCCCACTGGCTCCGGCGCGCACGCGGACACACGCGGGGGTCCCCCGCAGCGCGTCCCGGGCGGCGCAAAACTCTGCAGAAAGTTCCTGCTGGGCGGCAGCTTGGGGCTCCTATCCCCCCCTTACCCCCCTTCAACCACCGCCTGGACTTTTCCAACGATTTTGGGGGGTTGAGAGAGGAGAGGGAAAGCGGAGGGGCCCAACGGGGAAAAGCGAAGAACACCAGCGTCTGCGATCGGAAACAGGCAACGCGGCTGCACCCGAGCCCCGCCACCCCGCCGCCCCGCCACCCCGCCGCCCCGCCACCCCGCCACCCCGCCACGGTCCCGGGCCGCGGCGGCCGGGCGCGACTCGGGCGCGTGAGTGCTGCGCGTGTGCGTGTGTGGCGATCGCGGTCTCGGGGCGTTCTTCGCGGGGCCCGGAGGCTCGCGCCGCAGCCAGCGCCATGCAGAACTACAAGTACGACAAGGCGATCGTCCCCGAGAGCAAGAACGGCGGCAGCCCCGCGCTCAACAACAACCCCAGGAAGAGCGGCAGCAAGCGCGTGCTGCTCATCTGCCTCGACCTCTTCTGCCTCTTCATGGGTGAGCCTCGGCCCCCTGGTCCCCCCGGCCTCTTGGTCTCCGATCGCTCCCCAACTTTGTCCCGGCCCGGAGTCCCTGCGGCGGGGCTCGCGCTACGCTGTCAACTCGGGTTCTTCCTCCTCCCCCCCCCCCCTCCCCGGCCCCGAAATCTTCCTTCCCTGCGGCTCTGGACACGGGGTCCCCGCCCCCTTTCTCCTCGGACCCCCAACTTCCCCCTTAGCTTCCCTGCCCCTACGGCGAGTGTGTGTTTGGACGCGTTCGCGGGCAGCTGGAAACCAGCTTCCACGCCGAGATCCCTGGCACAACCCCGCGCAAGGGGTGGGTTCCATCTTTGAGGACCCCCCCTCCTTCCTTGCACACACACACACGCACACACACACCCGATCTGGAAGCAGAGTGTAACCTGGCCGTCCTGCTGCGCTTGCAGGTCCACTGGGTGATGGTGGGGATCTCGTCCCGGAGCCCAGCTGCCTTGGCCCGGCGGCTGCACGTAAACATCCAGCCCTTCCGCCACGGCAGCCCGGCCCGGGCCAGGCCGGACTCGCAAGCTGTCTTTTCTGTACTTGCTGCTCTCGGATCCTGTCCCCCATTCTCCCATCTTCCCTCCCCCCTCCCCCCTCCCCCGCAACACACACACACACCCCTAACTTTGGGACAGTGTTCTTCCCGGCTGGAGTGCTGGGTACCACCGAGTCAGCAAGCACTTCTTAGGCGCCTACTGTGTGCCAAGGTGGGAGGTGGCTTCACGGGCGTCTGGATTTGACTAGCCCTCTCGCCAAGCCTGTGCAGGATGAGGATGAGGAGCCCCAGTGTGTGTGTGTGCGTGTGTGTGTGTGTGTGTGTGTGTGTGTACCTGAGGACACTGAAGAAAAGCTGCGATTGTGCCTGATGACCACAATTGAATTGCACGCCCCCAGAAAGTTCTTGCCAGAGCCCACTTCTGTCCAGCAAAGTAGTGAGAAGCCTGGAAAGGCAGTGGGAGTTGGAGTGGGAGGGTGAGGATTTATTGAATTCGGGGAGGGCCAGGGGAAACTATAGACGCCAATCTACAGGACTTCAAAGCTGAAGTCCTGTGGAAGTCGCATATTATTATTATTATTTTTTAAAGTGGAGCATGGTGTCATGGAAAGCACACAAACTTGTCACCAGAACACAGGACACTCTGCCACTTGGTGGGTGTCCCGCAGGAGTGTCTCTGTGGCCTCAGTCTCCTCCTCAGTTGAGTGAGTGGGTTCAAGTAGATGCTCTCCAAAGGCCCCTTCCTGCATTAAGAACTCGGATTTGGTCCAGGAGCTGTTCTGCCAACTCTGCTAACTGAAGAAACATCTGTGTTCCTAGTTCAGTGGCCTTAAAATAGAACTCCTGCTTGGAAAGACTTAAGTCCCTTTGAAATGGATTTGTCCATGCAGATTGTGCAGACCTGAGACTCAGGCTGGAGTTACACTTGCCTGGGTGGAAGACTCCTCCTTAAGCAATGTCCACAGTGATGCAGGGTGAACTGTCCTTCGCCTGACTGCCCACTGAAAAGTTTGAGAACCAGAGAAAGATGGGCTTCTTAAAGAGTCTAAGAATGGCACCCTTCAGATAAGGAGAGGCCACTGAAGGTGAAGTCCTGGAAGGGAAGAAAGAATGGATCCTATTCCCTGCTGTCTTAATATGAATTCAACTTTAGGATGCTATGTAAAAGAATTGTCACTGGGGGGCCTGCCTTCCTGGTGGTGACTTACTTATCAAGCACAGTAGGGTAGATTCGTGCTTGAGGTCTTGTAATGAAGCTGTTGAATTTTTTAAAGACCCCCGCTTCCACTTTCTCAAGTCCTGGGGGAGACTACAAGAAAACATAAACAAGTGGAAGCTATTTGCTATGAACTTGCCTGAGCTCCCCAGTGCTTACTTAGGTGAATTGCTGGAGGGAGGGGTTAGAGGGCCAAGCTCTTTCTAGGCTGCTAGTGTAGACTACCTCCTGCCTCCTACTCGATTCATGCAGCAGTTAGGGCATGCCTGACAGCTTTGGTACAAATTCATTGTTCTCCCTTTTACTTACCCTCCTGATTTCAAAGATGGTGTGTTCCTTTTTTTTTTTTTTTTTTTAATAAGGTGTGAAAGAATTTTCAAAGGGACATAACCATCAGCTATAGTTAAGTCAAGGACATAGCAAACTCAGAGTATTCTGTTTTACATTCAAGGTGAAAGCCAGGTGTGTGTGTATATGTGTGTGTGTGGGGGGGGGGGGGAATTGTACCTAGGCTTTTCATTTGCTCCAACTATTCCCATGTGTCTCCAGATCTAACCTCCTAACCTGTTGATTGTGCTTGTTCATTGTTGGTCTTATATTTGAACCCATGATTTTGTTTTCCTCAAAAATCAGATACCAAGACCGTAAGAGGCCCATGACTACCTTGCATAAGGAGTATCTGTCTTGCCATTAATATTGCAACATCGAGGTCATTTTCAAAGTCACGTATGGACTGGTGTCTCCCTTAAGCACAAAACCACATTATGGTATCACTAATTATGTGCCTCCTAATAACTTTAATAGAGAAAACTATCTGTAAGATAAACAGATACCTTAGAATAATTATGTAACCGAAGTCCATTTGCTTTCCAAATGAAGAATTACTAACACAACATATGATTTTAATATTCTACACACTACAGTTCCCCCCCAAAATGTTTCTACTTGGTTCACTTTTTGCCTAAGATTGTTATCATCATTTAATTTTTATATAACTTATTGATCATAGGGTCTGGATTATAGACTACTAATACATTAAGAAGGAAGACAGTTTTCTGTTTATGTCCCCACAAAAATATATACCAAGCTTCATCTCCTAGATTCTGGAAAAAGTAAAAGCTGGTGTGCTATCTAAGTTTTATGTAGATGGAAACAGGCAAGTAGTGTAACTTGTTTCACATACTTGTGGCATGTTAAAGTCTAGGAAAAACTAAAAATTAAAATTCCACCCTTGTTTGAAGGCCAAATGAATCTGACATCAGAGCACACCATTGGTTACTTAACCTCTAATTAAATAGCTATCTTTGTCAGTTGATTGCTTTTACATTAAAAATGATAAATCTTTGCATGGTAATTTTTTCCAGATTTTTTTCTTATTTTGTGTTTAAATCAAATGTCCATACTCCTTATCCCCTCTTGTTCTTTCTGTTTGTTCTGGTGTGGTATGTGTGGTTTTTGTGAGAGAGACAGAGACAGTCCCAAGGCTGAAATAGAGAACCACTTGCTCTGTTAGCATTTTCAGAAAAAAATTAATTTATATATTTTTCATTTTAACTCTATGAAGATATCTCCGTCTGATAGGCCAGAAAACTAAGTCTCAAGGAATTGAAGAGTAGATCACATTAAAACAGTATGAAGTTTATTTCTAATTCTCAGTCTTGTGTAGTAGAGTCCTTTTTCTCATCTGAAGAATCTTGAAACTCACATCCTCCTCAGACAATTCTGAAGCTCAGTTAGCAGAGCATTCTGCCTCTCCACAAGATTGGTGTGCAGAAAGTTTGGCCTGTCCACATTTCTCAGTTATCTAGTCATGCCAACGCAGGTAGATAAAGTAAATCAGACTCTTCTGACCAGTGATCACAGAATTTGGGTGGTTATCTGACACGCTGTTTAATTTTGTTGTTCTAGAATGTTTGGGGATATTTGTTTTTTGACTAGCAATCAAATAGATAAGAATGTGTTTTAGTACTGGTTGCATATATGAGATACATAGGAGTCACTGTGTACTAATGTTAACTATTTAATCATGAGCGTGAGAGTAATATGATGATAGACAAGAGAATGGGATACTAGGGAGTTAGAAGCTTCAGATTCCAGATTAAACAATGTCATGGTTTCATGGTTGTGGACAAGTTAGTGTTCTGTGAGTTTCTGTTTCTCCACCAGCAAAATGGCTAGTTGAGTAGGATTATATGCAAAATCTCAGGCAAGCAAAAAGCAGGTATTGAAGCAAAGCCAGGTATAGAAGAAGTATATATGTCTCTTAAGCACGTAGCTTGCTGAATTCTTCACTGTACATTAGCTCTGGGGACCATCTCAAAAAAGGAGTCCAGAGGTATGAGTTCTAAATCTTGTGTTGATGTGTTAGGGCTATGTGATTTGGAAAAAATTCACTTGACCTTCCTGAGCTTTGACTTTTTTTTTCATTGCCATTGAGAGGGACTCAATTGGCTCTGACTCCTAACTCTGACTTCTTTGTGAGTCTATACTGATAGGTTTCATGATGTAGAGGCTCAGTCATTGCTTCTTTGAGACCATTTGTCATTAATCAAATTGTTATATGTTTGACCAAAGAATTAATGTTAATTAGCCTAAGTTGGTGTTAATTCTGGTGGGAAGGTAAGCATTGTTTTCATAAGAGTTAATCCAATATACTTAGGAACTGGCCAGATTTCCCTGGCCAGATGTGTCTTTTCACTCACTTCTGAAATTGGTAGTAATCTTATAAGCAAACATGTAAGCAAGCAAAACAGGTGGCTCCCTACCCCCACTTTTTTTTGTCAGTTATTTCCTTCATTAAGTATATGTTTTAAATAACCCAATAAAACAGTTTTGGTCTTGATTAAGTAAAGTAACATTAAACCACAGAATATAGAAACAGATTTTCATTAATCAGTTAATAAACATGAAAGCAATGTGCATTTAATAGATAAGCTCTGCTGACTTTTCTGGAGTAGTAGAGAACCTTTATTTCTCCATTGTACAAATTACTAGATTTTTATTATTGTTATTATTATTCCTGTATCTTACAGTGATTGGAATAAATATGAAGGCAATTTGAATTTAATGGATATACTCTGCTGGCTTTTCTTTTTTTTTTTTGTCAGCCATGGGGCTTGAACTCTGGGCCTGGGTGTTGTCCCTCAGCTCTTCAGCTCAAGGCTAGGGCTCAGCCACTTGAATCAAAGAACCACTTCCGGTTTTTTGGTTGTTTATTGCAAATAAGAGTCTCTAAGACTTTCCTGCCGGGGCTGGTTTTGCTCTC